GAGGAAGCTAAATTACATCTTGGCCGTTGGATTTCATTTATTCCAAAGGGGGAGACTTTTCAGTTTAGAAACGGAGAGGGTTGTCCTTGCACTCTAGGGCTTGCAGCAGTTTCAAAGACAGGAGGGTTTGTTATTGTCTGCAGTGGAAATCTGAGAGTGCGCAGCAGCACAATGACAAATCCAGGCTCCTCAGCGCAGCCCGGTTTAAGTTGATAGCCACCAGTTACTGCGGACAGCCACCAGTTACTGCCTCACCTCTGCGGCTGCCACCTCCGCCGGGCGCTGCGGTGGGGGATGCTGCCCGCTCCCTGCCCCGCGAGGCCGCCCGCTGTCCTGGCTGACGGCGCCAGCACCAGGGAAGCCCACGGACCATCACTAAACTCCCTCCTTCTTACAGGAACATAGATTAAAATGAGACAGCAATGGAAAACTTGTATTGGTGAGATCTGCAGATATAATAAGCAGCCTCTACAGCAATACTTATTAGCAATAAATGCTGTATTCTCCAAAGAAAGGGTCTGCAAAATTGCCAAGTGATTTTGGTGAAGAATTCTTTTTTTTCCTTAGGCTATTTGAAGTCAAAAGCTCTGCAGAAGTGATTCTTTTTTTTTTCCTGAAATATTTCGTTCTGTTGCGCTGAGGAAGCAAAAGCAGAATCAAAAGCACAGATCAAACAAGCAGGACATGGTTTGGACAAAGTGTGACTCGGTTACCCCCCTGCACTGCTTTCATGGTTAGAGGCTCTCAGCTTGCAGCAGCGAAGGTGAGTGCTCGTTTCAGACGTGCGCTGCACCCCTGGAACGCTGCAAAGTGTGATTCAAGAGGACCCATCTCGGCCCACTGGCGTGCTGCGGAAGAGGCACTGATGCAGGAACACAGGAGGATGCTGCCTCCGTTGCCCCGTGCAGAGAGCTGCTGCTTGCTTCTCCACCCTTGGGATCCTGAATCACAGAACGGTTGCGGTTGGAAGGGACCTCTAGGGATCACCTAGTCCAACCGCCCTGCTGTAGCAGGGACATCTAGAGCACGTGGGACAGGATTTTGGATCCAGGCAGGTTTGGAAGATCTCCAGAGGAGGAGACTCCACAACCTCTCTGGGCAGCCTGTTCCAGGGCTCTGTCACCCTCACAGGAAAGAAGTTCTTCCTCACATGGAGATAGAACTTCCTGTGTTTCCACTTGTACCTGTGCCTAGTAAAGCTTCAGTAAGAAAACATGGAGCTTATTCCACCACTCCCATAGCTAAGACCAGACACAAGGGCTTATAGCTTAGTTTCCCTGAATACAGAAGATTTAAAATAAATTGGAAGCCTCATGCCACCTTTAAGAGCGTGAGTGTGTACGATAGGCCCTTGCAGGCCGTACGGGCTGCCACAGGGGAGCTGCACACAGCAGCCTGCTAACAGGGCAGCACGAGGAGAGGCAGCCGCCAGCCCCACAGGCTCTGCGGCCCTGCTCTGAAGACTTTAGAGGAAGGCAAACATCTCTCTCCTTCTTTAAAATATCTCCACAGCGAGGGGCCAATTAAGAGGAGCCTGGTCTTATTAGCCTTTCAATGGCAAGTATAAATAGGCCCTTATATATTCAAACCAGCAGCAAATGAGTAGTGGAGGTCACAGGATGTTTTCATGGCTCTACAATGTGTGCCTTCCTCCTGGGCCCTGGAGAGAGAAAACTAAAAAAGTTTAGTTATTGCATGGTCCAATCTGTCTAGTGGTAACTATTCCTAGAGCTCAGTTTGCAGCAGACGTGATTTCAAATTTGTTTCTTTTCAAAAGCAAGTTCCTAGCCCATCCTCCCCAAAAACAATCTATTTGCTAGAGCAGGCAACCACTTCCACCTTCAGTTAGTATCAGCACAAAAAGAAAAAGACAGAGCATTTATAGGAAAGCAGCAGTTTGAGAGGTCAGCCAGAAGATCATGGGCCAGGTGCCTACCACAGTTAAATCCACATCATCTCTTAAACCTTAGCAGCAGAAAAAGGTAAATATTGGAAAATGTAACTTGGGGCATTGAAAGCAACTCTTGAGGCACGTAGAGGAAATAAGAAAAGTCAGCAGCTTGAGGCACATAAATGAAAATAATTCTCCTAAGCTATACTTTAAAGCTGCACACACAGATATGGAGAACCTTGGCTCTCATCGAGCTCTGCCTCTGTGAGTGTTTAACTGTGTGATGAGCTTGCAGTACCCGCACCTCTGTGCACACAGCAAGTGATCAATTCATCTCCAAGTCTACCACAGAGCTTGGGCACTTTCAGGAACAAACTTGTGACTTATGGGGCAGATTTCCATGGTTTTTATATCTAACTGTGCCATCCCATTCCTCACCAATGGAAGAACAGGGGCTCACTCTTCCACTAGAGCAAAAGTCAGAAGCATTTCTAAAGCAATTTAAATATAAATTAATACTAGCTTCTAACCTATTTTTCAACTCCCGCAGCAGCATTTTCAATCTTTTTGCTGTGATGTTGGTCTGCCTTTTAAGCAAGTTCTCCTTTAATTACTACAAGAAAGTCTAGCAGGGCAAGACAAATAAATGCTGTAAGCCCTCTGGGAGGCTACAGGGGTTTTGTTTGTTTTTTAGCAGCTAGGCATCACGCAAATGGAGTGATCAAGTGAAGCCGAATCACTGAAGGAGGATAAGGAACAACAAAATGCACAGATGCAGCTGGGAAGAAGAGGCACCTATGCAAGACAAGCGCAAAGGAGCAGCCAGAGATTAAAGGGAGAACATTGTTGACTCTTCAGTCCAACAGTCCCACACAAAAGCAGCAGCAGGTAATACCAAGTTACCCTATGAAAGGGCAACGCAGTTGTTTTCCCTTTTGCCCAGAGGGGTTATCAGTAACAGTAATACACACAGCAGAGTTGTCTTCAGGTCTTCTTGGATTCCTCCCATCCCCTAAATAAAGGGGAGAGTAAAAGGTTCAAAAAAAATGATTACAGAAAAATAGAAACTGTGAGAAAAGTGAGGAAAACCAGCTATGCAGAATTGAGAGACATTTTCTGACAGGGTGGTTTGCACAGAGAGAAGCAGCACTTTCATGGAGACAGGAAGAAATAGGTATCAGGCATAGCCTAAATTAATTCTTAGGCAGATAAAAGGAAAATGGAGCAAATGAAGTGAGGACATAGCCTCACTGCTACTTAAAATATTAAACGGTAAAGCTGCTCGCCCCCCTCTTTCAGCAATAACCATATAATTTCCCTGAGTGGGCAAATAAACCATTTTTTCAGAATCTAGACACTATGCATAGCTTCAATAATACTACCACCACCTTCATCTGTCCCCAGCAGCGCCATCCAAAAAAACAACAACAAAAATACTTTCTAAAACAAAAAGCCACAAACAAGTTTCAGACAAAATATATATATTTAAAAAAAATCTTTACAATAAGTCAGGAAACATAGGAGCTTGCATACAGTTTATTATATAACAACTCAATTCTCAGCTCCCTAGAGTTCAGATAACCCTGGTGACAGTGTTTACAACTTCTTATTTTTGCTTTCATAACTTTAAAGCAAACAATACATTTGAGTGTATTTTACTCTGTGCAAATAAGACAACTTTTGGAATCCTTCAGAAGAAATATCCAAGATTCTGTTTGCTGAGGTCCTTTGTTTCTCAAAGATGATTTATGAGAGTTTGTTTTTCAGATAAAGTGCTCCTGTCCAGCAGAACCCAAAGGCCTTCAACAGTTCAGAGAATATGTTTAGCCCAGATGAAAAAATAATTGGTCATACAAATTCCAGCTTCCCGTGTCCGCTGTACATTCCCCAGTGGACAAGCGAAAGAATTTTGTCATTGCTGAGGTCTGAGTGTCTCATTTTATCACAGGTCATGCAGCAGTTCTCATGACCAGTGACGGGCACCATGCATTCCAAGTCCAGTTTTGCCACCTGCCCTTTTTTCGAATGATGTCCATGAAAACTGTAGTGCAAACGGGAGAGCATTTGCTGCCGTTGATCTTGCAGTCTCTTATTTTCACTCCTGAGCATCCGCAAGGCCAGCATGATGAGGAGCACCAAGATTAGCCCGCCAGCTATAGGAACAGCTATTACAGCTGCCCTGAACCATAATTCTTTTGAAGAGGTCAGTTCCTGCACCTTGGTGATGAGATTCCTGTTGTTGTCATGTTGATATCTGCTCCCTTGTCCTGCAAAGGCAGAAGACATGAAGCTTATTCCAATTGCAACAACTGATTTATATTTAAACAACCTCTTAAACCCCACACAGGCAGGGTTAAGGAGCCACAGCTGCATGATCTGTCATTTCAACAGAAATTTCTCCTATAAATGGAGAGACAAGGCTCTAAGCATGTTTTATGATACAGAATTTATTACACCACTAGCTCATCTAACTGGGAACGCCACTGCCATCGTTTCTTAAAAGCAACAGCAAGACAGACCCCTGTTAGTAATGCAGACATAAAAGCTACTCCAGGCAGCCACACGCTTCTCCCACTAGCGTCTCTAGTTACACGAACAAGAAAATCAATAGCAGACGGACAAGGCCTCGGCGATCCCAAACCGACAGCCCGGAGCAGAGGCTTCACTGCGAGCGCGTGGCCCTACCTGAGGTCTGGCCACCGAGTCCAGGCAGCCGTGCGCCAGCGGCGACTGCGTGTTCCGCGGGTCCAGCAGCCTCGAGAAGCAGGCACCCAGCTCCGACTTGCACATGTAGCCGGTGGCGACGCAGTGCGCAGCGTCACAGTAGCATCTGATTTCACCTAAAACGATAAAGAAATGGTGCAGACGGTAAGAATTGGAGCGTTTAAAGGCACCTCACTAGCTACTCTGCTCATTAGCTGCGATCATTACAAAAAGGAATCAAACCTAGCAGCAGCTTTGGGTTATTGCTCTGGACTGAGGATCCCGGGGGCAGGGACTGCTTCCTTTCCAAGGCTGTACAGTGCCCACCTCCTTGTAACCTTAATCCCAGCAAATGCCTTGGGGCAGCTCTTACAATTACGGGTACTACGGTGCTTTCAATTAAAGCAAGAACATTGTGCTAAGCCAGCGATGGGGAGAAGCAGGAAGGTCACTCTGTCTTTTTCTTCCAGTCCAAAGGACTAACAAGACTGTTTTATAGCTACTTCCACTCACTGTCAGCAGCTAAACCACATCTGAAGTGAAACCCCACTTTTTTTAAAAAAAAAAAAAAAAAAAAAAAATACCTACCTTTAATTCTATAGTAAAGTCACATCTACATTTTAGGTGATTACTATAGACTTTTATAAAGACAGCCTTGCACACTTTAACAGTGCAGAAACATACAACAGAACTTCTTTTTTTTTTCCCCTATGTCACACAAATATTTAATCGGAACTGCAGAATTGTTTATTACTTCTCAAAACCATGCCAAGATTTAAGAGGTTTAACTAACACCTTATAAAGCTATTACCTAGAACTATTACCATCTAAAATCTCCCTGTCAGGAAGGATTTTACTGTGTGAAACTAAGCAAGCAGCTACTTATGATTTCTTCATAAAAAAAAGCGGTTTTATTGTTTTGTTTTTTAAAATATGATTGTTTTTTAAAATAACCCTAATGCAGAAAGGCTTTTTAGGTAGTATTGTAAAATAAACTGCAAACAAATTAATTGTAAACTGCAAAGTAAGTGTCTTCCAACCCAAATGTAAAGTTATAAATGGGGTGAAACAGAGTATAAAGTTGTTCTCTCCCCCCGCTCTAATTCTGCACGCAATCCAACATGCGGTCAAAAGGGGAAACACTTAGACTGAAAATCCTCTACCGGTTGTATGAAAAATCTCTCAGGAAACCTCAAAAATTTCTGAAGGAAGCGATAAAAAAGTTCCCTTCATAAAACTCTTCATTTTGTGCTCTCCAAACCACTCTGCTACAAATTATGCATGCCCTGTTTAAAATTTTCTCTTTCTAGGCAAGCTGAAACTCAAGCATAGATCAAATCACAGATTAGGAGGAAGCCGGATTTTTGGAGCCGTCATTAAAAGAGTGGACAACTCCTCTTAAGGAATTTGGTGTCCTGGACATCACAACGGCACCAAGGCTTTAAGTCGACTGAACTGTCACATCTCACCCTTTTACAACTCACTCTCCAAAATGGATCTGTAGGATTCCCGGGATTCCCACCCCATTTTATGGCTCTCCCCTCGCTAAAGGTATTCCAAAGGCATTCCTAGAAGGCATTCCGAAAGATGAAAAACCACCTCTGTCAGCTTAGCCTGTACCTCAGGTTAGCCTGTACCTCAGCCTACCTTGTACTTCCCAAAATGCTGCTTCCAGTTCCCAAACTTCCCGCTGCTCTTTAACAGCTCTGCTTAATAGAAGCCAAATGATGGAGTGTCTGTCTCCAACTGCACTAACTCCCCTGGGCTTTTAGACCAAGGAACCTCATTTTTCTTGGATTCGCAGACACTTCCAGAGCCTGCTGGATGGGAAAGCCTCTTCCCTTGGTGCTGCACTCAGTCATTTTCGGAGCTGAAGGTGTCACCCTGTGCTCTCCAAAAAGCATGTGGGGTGGCACCACGAGCAGCCACAAGTCAGAAACAGGGTGCAGAAGGGAACAGCCTCTCAGTGACAGTTTGTGCATGAACCTAAGGGCAGCACAGGCAGAAAGCAGAGCAAAATGCACACTTCTAACTATTTCTACAAGCCTGCTTACCATTCTAGATTTTACTGACCTATGATAATCTTATAACCAAGAGCCGTCAGGCTCGTCTGTGGGTTATTGCAACTGCTTTTTTAATTAAAACCACGTTTTCGGTGAAACAGAATGGACTTTGTATTACTGTATTAAAACTGTATTTCTGTCAATTCATAAAGTTTCCTCCTGCGCGCTGCAAAGGGCCGGGGAGGGTACTTAGTATTTTGCAGCAGCGAACAATGCCCTTCTGTTCCCTCCTCTTTCTTGTTACTGTACGCAGCTATTAAAGAAAAAACGCCCGCTTTTAGTCAAGATGGCTCCAGGAGAGGCTGCGGGCTTCTCCTCGGAGCTTTTGAAGTGAGCAGCAGCCCCGCGACCCCCCGAAGCGCCCCCTTATCAGCCGCGTGGTTTCGGTATCTGCCCCTTCCCGGCGCTCGGGCCCTGCCCGCTCTGAAGGGCCGGGGCGCCCCGGGAGCCGCCGCGAGCCGGGGCCGGTTCCGCCCTAACATTATTCTATTATTATT